GGTAAATGATTTTCAATCGGAAATCTTTTTCTCCATCTGATGTTATAAAAAGTAATTGTCTATGTCTTTATTGAAATCTAACTGCCAGCCATTTCACTTTGAGGCAAAAAAAAAAAAAAGTGTCTTAATAATTTGTTGGTGAGATGGTGGTAATTTGAAACTTATTAATTTTCTGGAATCTTGCAATTGTTTTCTATCAAAAACTGTTTTTCTGACTCCTGATGTTGAGGGGAGTAAAGGAAAAAGAAGCCTGAGGTGATTAAAACCTGGCAGGAAGCGTACTTCTGATGCTCGTATTGTTCTCTTTCGGTAATTACTTTTTTTACCATTCATTGTTCGTTGGGCGAGGCGCTTAAAAGGGAGGGGGAAAAAGGATAGAGAAAAACACCATACTTTAGTATGCAGTCGTGTATCTGTCTTAAAAAATGACGAATCAATTTTCTTGATTTTCACGCCCTCTGCTGTTCTTATTTTGTTCTTTAATCAGGGAAACTTTGCCCTTTTATATGCTTTTTTCATTGGCCAATGGCGCCAATGCAAAGGTTAAGTAGTGTGAAGCTTTGGTACAGATAAATATTATAAACCTTTAATTTTTTTCTATTGTTTCTTTTATCTTTTTACTAGGGTCAATCATTAAAAAAAAAAAAAAAAATGAAATCTTGAAACCTTATGCATTTAAAAAAAAAAAAATATTCGTCGCGATGGTCTTTAATTCGGAGAATCATTAATGACATCTATCATTTGGCCAGGATGCTGAAGTTTGACCAATGTTTAAAAGAATGGTCATGATGATCAATAATTCCAGGAACATTAACCATAATTAACCTTTAACCTCATCTGGACTACTGCATTATCTAGAAATAAATCATGGCCTGAAATTTCAGGAATTAATGAAAGCAAAGAATGTTCGCATATTCCAGTAATCATTAATGTGCAATTATCATTTAACCTGGATGATTTATCTCGCCCATTTTAATGTTGATGCTATTTTAAGATATTTACCATATAGAAATTATTAATTAGCTGAAATTTCAGGATTTCTCTATCTGTATTTGTCCAGAATTATTTCACCAATAAAAACTTAATCAATGTATATCCTGAAATTTGACCTAATTTCTAAAATATTCAATATGACGATGAGGATCAATAATTTCAGGAATGACAGTTATCATTTTCCTGGTCATCTAAACCACTAAAATCACAAAAAATTCCAAATAATCAATTATTAATATTGTGAGATCTAAGTTAAAAAAAAAGGAATTTTACGAAAAAAACAAGAATATATTGGTCAATACGATTCCAGAAAACTCCGAACGTCTCTTCGTTGTACGCTATTGTGTTTAGCTAGGTTAATGACCTATATTGCGCATATTTCTCGTCTTCTTACAAAAACAAAAGTGTAATGTCCTCCGGTCCGTCCATACTCGCTGTTTTCCCTGGACACATCCGTTGAGCCAAAAGGGCTACAACGGGTGAACAGCATATCAAGGCTGATCAGAGGATGTATTTTAATCACAGCTCTAGGCGACCTTATCAAACCTTGAAGTTTTTCCGGCGTATCCACATACAATTTTTTTTTCTCATTCATCATGTTATTTCAAGACCACGTATTCAAACACTTGTTAACTTGTAATATGGTCACATGGAGATATTCCCAGGAAAAGTATTCTTAAATGCCGTTTTTACCTGTCGCCCTTAACCGCCTCGCTTCAGCCGTCGCTCCTAGGCCTTGTTAAAGGGAGCTAAAGGCTGCAAAGCCTTCCTACGACGTTCTGACGAGGGAAACTTAAGAAAAAAAAACTGCCAGTGGAAGCCTCGGCTGCTTAATCACTGTCATCCTTATTCGCTTAGGCTAACCGTAGATTACTAGCACTTGGATCTGTTATGTCACAAAAAATAAATCCTAACAGAATGCATTTGGCGTATTATTGTCATTAATTGTTCACGAGAGCCGAACACCCTGAAGAGGTCGCAATAAGGGTTTTAGCAGATGGTGATCTGATCTGTAACTAATTGGATCCTCTTCCTCATCACCTGTATACTGTCGATCTTCCCTCCATAATCATGATAGTTTCTTTTCTTTGCTTAGAAATTCCCGAAATGATTGGGATGACTAATACAATTCTGCACCGTCAGTGCAAAACTAGATAAGACAAATTTTGGTAAAATCAGGAAAATACATATTCCAGTGTCTTTAGGCCTGGAAACCTAAAGACAGAAGGAAAAAAGTTACTACAGTTGAAGTTGTACCAAAGATTTGAACTTTAAAATCGCTGAAAGTTCTGTTTTTGGGATACAGTTTTCTCCCGAGGTTGCAGAATTGTCCTGGAATTAATGATCATCTCTATTTTATTCCTAGAAAGTCGTGTGATATCAAGTTGTACATTGATTTTAGATGTTTGAGATGCCAAATGCTATTGTGATGTTTCACATTTCATTGTTTAATGGTTTATAGGGATGATAAAACCCAGGCCAGATCTAATGATGATTATCCTACATGATGCCATTTAAAAAGATCGATCGATTTTGCATTATTTCTCTCCATGTTTTTAGTATAGTTGGACTAAGAAACACGGAGAAAAATCATAATTCGTACATAATAACAGAAAATAATTGACTATAGATCTTTACAATAGACTGTCCTGGAAAGTCACTTCATTTGTTTTTAGATGGTAGGAAGGACGAGCGGATTCAACTCAATTAATAATTAAATCCATTATGTTTAGTAGTCTGACTGACCAAATTACTTCTGAAGCTATCGTGACTTCTTACTGATGTCCCGATAGCTCAAGTGGTTAGGCCAGCGGTGCGCATTGCGCCGAAGGTCATGGGTTCGAATCCCGCTCGTGACACTAACTTTTTCATCTCAACCAAGACTTTTTATAAAAGGAATAATCAATTAATAATTTTTATACCTTATTCCTGGAAATATTTTTTCATCGCGGGAATTTTATTTATTTGTGCGTATGTGTAGAAAGTCCTGAAATGTCAAGTTATAAAATGTTTTTAGTAGTCCCAAAGGGTGCAGGTCCTTTATGTTAAAGAACTGTAAATTCACTCCTGAAGGGGGGTTATAAAATGCTTTTTTAATTCCCCTGGATTCCGTGCAAAATTCCTTTCTCAGGACCTTGTTAGTATGAACTAGATAACCGAACCCACGAAACAGAGCAGTACTTTTGATATCTTTATCTGGCCGAGTTGGCGCAAACGTCTCCTTTCAGCCTCCTATCGCCCCCTGCCAGAGAATAAACAAGCTCCTGGCGGTTTTATCGAATTCTTGTTGCCCTTATCTTCTTTTAATAGCTCGTATGCATTCGAATCGAAACATTTGTAATTCAAATATCTCCCGGAATTATTTTGTAACCGCCTCTTCGCCGGGAGACCGTGGAGGACCCGATGAATATTCATGGGCTCGGTTAGAGAATATTGCAGCTCTCTCACAAAAATAACTCGATTAAAAAGAAATCTCCCATTTACATAGAACTTCACACGGTTTTAACAGATTTGACTAATGGTATTTTTCCAGCCAAAACTTTTGATAACAATATTTTTAGTTACAGCATTCTGCTGTGATCAGACCGGGCTGGCAGCCTTTATAATATTCTCACGAGGAATCTTATGTACCAGAAGATATGTCTTTCAACAATTTAAAATCAAATATTTACACTATAAAACTTACTGAGATATTGAGAGTTTTTAAAGAATAAAAAATGTCATGACTCATCATAGTTATCTTTTGAAAGGCTCGTAATAATATCCTCATAAAAATATTTCCCGAGATAAACCGTCGAAGGATGAAGATATTCAAGCCGGTTGTGAATTCGAACACCGGATTTGCATAAACTCACAATAGGCTCCGATCTTCCCACTCCAGGCGGGATACAAAAGGAGCTGCCAGGTATGAAAAGGACACCCATTTTATCGCCGCGGTGGTTACGAGGTACGGAAGAAGCCGAGAGGGAAAAATAGGAGTGAGAAATAAAAAAGGAAGAGGCCAACAACGGCCTAACGGGTCTCTCCCACCTCCTGGAGAAGAGGTCCTCCATCGAGCCTGCATGTCTTGCCTTACATACTAAATCCTCAATCGTCCTTGAACAACCACGTGCTGGATTTAGCTTCACGTACAGTAGAATGTTTTTTGCAAATGAAATTAACGCGTGGCACAAGAAATAAAATAAATTGTAAATAAACGAGTCTCAAGCGATCGCTAATACATTTCTAGATGTGTATAATAGGATGGAGAAGTTGGACGTTATCGTGTATCAAATTTGATTAACAAAATTCATTAAGGATGTTATTGATAATAAAAAAAATATTTACAAAGTCATCTTAGGCAAATTTGCCGATTGATCAAACCAGTATGCCTCTAATGAAAAAAGAAGAATGGGGTAAGAAGAGTCAACCTGATTGTAACGACAGACCTTCTCTGATGAGTCTGACATAGCCAAATCATCGAACGCTATCAAACGACTATTACTTACGAATTGATGTGTACATATGCAAAAATTATTGGGATGGGACATATATGGGAGTCAGATATCTCAGCAGTATCTCAAAAGGTTTGTAGAGGTGAACTGGGCCTTTAGCCAACCATTACGCACCCTGCCCGGATAGGGTAAAAAGGGTCAACTATGACTGTTAGTGTATTGGATTTCGCTGGGGTTTTAAGGATGTAATTACTAATCACCGAGCCAGTACTGATGGTATAACCAAACGGTCCAAACTACGAATACTTATAAGTACATCTCGTCCAATGATAGAGAAAAAATTCAATTTGGGATGTATAAACTCAGCAGAAATTTGACTATTACCCGTGTGCTTTTATTGAAGTAGATGCTGTTGCAGCTGGTTTACCAAAGCAGTTGAATTCAGGAGAAATATCTTTAGTAAAGAGATCCCTAATTCCTTCTGCTATTGGTGATGTAGGGTTTTTTAGTGTCTTTAATTATTTTTACAGTAGTTGCATACATAAACATGTGATAACAGATTTAAAAAACCTCTTCAATCTCGGAAAAGTTTATTTAGTATCACGATCATGAGCAACACGGCGAGGATATGACAAGATTCCCTTTCAGCGTTGGATTTTTGAACCTCCTCGTCTACTTTTAAGACGCGAGAAAGCCAGACTTGGTGTGTGTAGACGTCCTCATAGATCATGACGGCGAAGACAACCTTCCCGCAGCCGTTGCCGATCACGAGCCCTCTGGAGAGTATGCCGGTCGTCATCCCGTTGCAGATGATGGGACCCCCGGAGTCGCCGACGCACGGGGCGGACTCGCCTTGGACGACGAGGAGGCACATGGCGTGTTCCATATTTTCCGTGATCCTCGCACAATCTATGGATCGTAGCAGGTCAGCTTTGATAGTCGCTAGGACCATCTTCGCCTTGAGACCTTCGGGGTACCTCAGGCCGAAGCCCGCGAGGAGGCAGTTCTTCTTGGCATCACCCCTCGATGAGTTGGCCATCGGCGGATATTCTATTTCAAGCATGTCGGCCGTCTGTACGACCGCGACGTCGTTCTCGACGGAAGGCAGGTAGAACGGGTGGATGTAGACACGTTTCACCTTTTTGTGCATCATTTTCTTTTCGAACAAATAGATGTAAAGGTTGACCGAATTCTCGAAGAAGACTTCGGTTCTCGACTCGACGAAACAGTGGGCAGCTGTCAGCACTTTGTCCCTTCCGACGACCACCCCTGTGCACAACCTGGACGAAGAGTTCTGCATCACCGTTATCAGCAACACAACGAACTTGTACTGGGAATTTGTCTCTACTACATCCCCGAGGAACATTTCTTATCGTTTCTTTCAAACCGGGGGGTCATTAAAAAAAAACATATGTTTGGTTTTATTTTCGCTTTAAATAAACTTCATTGAAAGTCGTTGCGTAAATGTGTAAATTTATTTAGACGGCCTAGAACGATTTTTATCCACGCGTTAATAAATAAACATTCGGCATTAATGAGGCTAACGGTTGTCTTTATTTAATTATTCATGCTGTGTACATCTTTCATGGAAACAGAGACAGAACTCTCTACACTTAAACGAGAAATTCCAATTTCAAATTCAAAATCCTACCAAGAATTTGAAAAAAGACAGGTGCTCTTTATTAAACGATCGGCTCTGAACTGGAAAAGTATCTTGAACTTTTGAAATCTTTTAGTATGCATAAAAGTGAATTATGCAAAACAGCGAAATTGATCGTAACCGTCGGTTACATGATGGATGGAGATATATTATACTTTAACCTTTGACAGACTATTTTTACCAGGTCGAAAAATTTTCCTATTATTTATTTTTTGTTACTAAATAAACATTATTATTAACACTTATGCAACGCGTACTTGCCCATGACGAGTTGACCCTGTTTTATACGTTGTCTTCTCAAATTCAGAATTTCATCACATTTGGAAAAATTATTTTGAAAATCATCTACGGGTGTCCCGTGAACAGACGTCAATACTTAAGGAAGTTTAAACAGAACTGAAAAGTACCTATTGCCACTAGAACTAAAGTCCTTTTGTTAATTTGAATTACTTTAATTATTTTTCATAGAGGTTTCACCATCTTATGACTAATTTTAAATCATTTGTAACCGAAAAATTATTTGTTTAGCAATTAAACGTTAATTTACGCTGGTAATAACTGATGTTTCAGAAATTAAGTACGTAAAGTTTATTTAGTGGGACAACTTAACTGGTATTGGCAACTTCTTGGTATACCTGTTTAAAGTCAAAAGGTCCAATAGCCCTTCATGCCCCGAATCCGATACCGATGATGACGTGCGCCGTAAAATTCTATCTTGTAGAATTTTTGAAAGGGAATGAGAAGACCTAAAGCCCTCTTCCGCAAAAATTGGCCCTAACTTTAAGCGAAATTGTTCAGGATCAAAACATTTTCAAGGCGTTCAAAACATTAAGCCTGAAAATTATTGGCTGTCAAGTATAGGGAGCATATTTATTTATTCTTGTGTATACGTATAACTTATCTCCTTTATCATGTTTTACACCTAGCTTTTAGTTTGGTGTGGTCCGCCGGTATAGGGTCTCCCTAATGTTTGGTCGGGTGGTCGAATGATTTTTTGACGTGTCGCCTTATCGTGGTCGTTTGCAAACTCATCGGTCCGCTTGTTCTCGTTGTGTTGCCAGTCTTTTAGCCGAAACAGGCTCATTTCCAGGCGACCTTGTGTCGATTCTCGTTGTAAATACCGTCAGGGGAGATCCCCGGTCTGGTCGGGCTGACTCGGCGAAAAATCTGCACAGCCTGCTCCTTTCAAAGCACGGCCTTTGTTGGCCGGAATCAAAAGGCGTTTCGTTCCGGAATCTTTACGCCCGCGATTGTGCTTGAGCAGCGTCTCGAGAAAGGCGAAATTGCTTGTCTGCCTTGGGATTTGTATTTCCGCAATGAGGCTGAACAATAATGACTCGGTTAAACGACATATCAGATTACGATGAATATGTAAATTCTAGTCGATAAGTTTTCGTTTTCTTTAACACAAGGGGACACTTTTAGCGTTGGAAATAAGGAAGTAGCTTAGCCCTTTCAGACTGGGTGGCTTAAACATGCAAATCCGCCACTTTTTTAACGTTCCTGTAAAGCTTTTTGAACAGCAGAACCTTCTGCCGGTTAATATGGAGAAGGTACGTATCATCTGAAGCAAGGAGTGGCAGATTGCATCTGAAAATTTAAAAAGGGGGACACCGCTTTACACGAGTTACTGTGAAGGTCTTTTGATTCTGCGGTTTACACACCCGGACGAGGAAAAGTCAAGGTCTTCACATAGCACTACATAAAATACACTGGAAAGTGAACACGTACAACAGAGTACAGAAATGGGTCGTGGTGCACTTACGAACTTGGTGAACAACACGAATTCTTTTCTTCTTTTTTTTTTCAGTCGAAATATTTTGTTTGTTTAGATTTTAAATAAAAAGACCCGGCAAATATATTGTAGCAACCAATTAAATGACAACTTCTGTTGCTACTACGACCACTTTTCCAACCATTTTTTATTTTAACAAAATCTTTCGCTTTGATGGGTTGAGCTGGATTTTAATGAAGGCCTTGTTAAAGATTCCCTTCCAATTTCACTAAGTTTTTTTTTGTAAATAAATAAGTTAATTAAAGTATATTTTGGCGCGTGGTTTTTCATGTAGTCTTGAACTGTGATTATTGGTCTCGTTAAAAAAAAGGATGTAGGGTTAAAATATTATCTAATCTCTTAGTTATCGGTACGAATACCCAATCGACACGTGTTCTTCGCCACGTTTTGCAGATTGAAAACATTCCGTGTATTTTTATTTTCTAAAATATCGCTGAAAAAATATAAAAATCTTCAAAAACATGTCCTGTTAAATCTTCAGAAACATGTCCTGCTGCATGACGTTCACATAAAAGTCGATTAGCTATATATAAGTTCCAGTCATTTGTTTAGTTATAAATATTTCAGTCTAGTATGGTCATATTCCATGCCCTACGGACCTGGAAGGATACGGAATTTTGTTATTATTAACAGTTTTTAAGGGGACATGTTTTTAAGGTAAAACCTACCTGGCTGCATTTGTACAAGAGGTGATTTCCATCAAATTCCAATTTTGTGCAGTATTGCATAGTCTATGAAGTTGATCAGGCTATTTCCTTTTTGGATTTAAATCACATGAGATGTTTCAAAAGGAAACCTGCCTTCGTGTATCTAAATACCGATCAGATCTGAATAAGGCAGACTGGCTTTTAAAAAATGAAGACAAATCGCGTTTAATATTCCGTTTGGTAGTAGAGATATCTCCGCGTGTTTTACTCCGGCTATTTCGCCATCAGGAAAGCGGGCTCTCTTAAATTATTCGAGTCACCATCTGCCGTTTTATCTCCTGCACTCTACCCCAGTTTCGAAATTATCTCGTAAGCCCCTGCCCGCGGTCGTGGAATAATAAAGTGTTTTTTCTGTTTACCGAGCTTCAAGGTTGGTCTGGAAGGAGTGATGAGTCGCCATTAGTGGAAGAATCATAAACAAGCCCAGGCCTTAATGTCCGTCTCTGACATTGAGAACTGACCACCTTTTTCTTCCCGATTACGGGAAAAGGCAGTAAAAAAGGTGTTTTCATGATGCCCTAATTCGCCTAGATGACATTCAACGATAATTTTCCAATTACAGTCGCTTTAATATATTCTTTGATAGCGATCCTTAAATAGCCTATTATATGTTGAACAACATAATATTGTGTTTGATCTTTATCGTCCATAATAGCCGACGGCTCTTGGCTACTGCTCTCAACTCCTTTCTTAAACCAAGAAGAGTCAATATTCTTTTAATTCGGAAATCGATATAATTATATCGATAAGTCATTTATAGGTTGAAAAAAGCACTTTGAGTCATTTATTAACTCATTACTATCGCCATATTTTATTGGATATAATAATTGCAATATCAAGGTCTTGATGCACTCTTTTATTTTGATTAGAGACGTAGAAATGACCACTAGTTGTGAAAGGCGTTGGGAAATGGTTAGATTCGGTTTAGGTTACATTGGTTTGTAGTACTCCCTTGTGTTGAACTATTCAATCCTAGACTTGTAAATTGACTAGTTTTTAGCGTCAATTTACTACGCTTTCCTAGTAGACGTATACAAATCCGTCATACGTTTAGATTCCTGTTCGGTCACTCTACTAGTACGCCTCATATTTCATGTACTGTTGCGAGGATACAGCGGTAGTGATTTTTACTCGGGGACATCTTGTTGAAGAAAAACAATGTGTAGTTCCTTAAGCTAAGAAGAAGAAAAACTTGTCATACTAAAGATTGCCATATTACATTTTTTAGCCCGTGGTGTGATTTTTGTCTCTTGTCTGTTTCAGAAGACCGTGGAAGGACACTCAGAAGCCTAAGGTCCAACAGCATAAGCAGGGATCACCTCCAAGGTTAGCAAGTCAGATAGCGTGAAAAATTCCTCCTCCCTTCTTCCCCGACTTGTTCTCTTGTTTTTCTCCCTTTCCACGCAATTCGTCACGGTCCGCGGCCGCCGGCCCGGGAATAAAGAAATAGCCCGGTTTTCTATGACCCATTTCGTCCTGGCGGAACAACGCAAATAGTCCCGGTTATGATTCAATCCCTGCGGGAAGGGCTAGGACGAATGGATTGGTAACCATTTTAAGCATTTTTCACAATTGGAAGAATAGAGCAAAAAAGGAATGGCGGCGAGGTGATTGTTTCAAGAATTTTTTTAGATGAAAACGGACGTAACAGCAAGTACTAAAAGTTGATCATCCATTGATTATGGCTTAACATTAACCAATCTATAAATTATCGAGCTCTGATTACATCCCTGGATCTGCAAAATCTCGTTGGTTTATTTAATTACTTGATTATGATAATTATTTTATTTACATAGTATGATTTAATGTAAGGAAAGTGGTTAGAGCTAATATAATAACATTTATAAATGAACGTGTCTCTCTCTCTCTCTCTCTCTCTCTCTCTCTCTCTCTCTCTCTCTCTTTCTCTTTCTCTTTCTCTTTCTGTATCTCTTCCACTATCTCACAAACTTTTTCTCTCTCCCTCTCTATTTCACTCTCTTTGTTTCACATTCTCTTTCTTTCTCTCCCTCACATCTCTCACCTATCTCCTCCCCCTCTCTTTTTTTTCTCTCTCTATTTCTTTCTCACTTTCTCTCACTCTCTCTATTTCTTTCTCACTTTCTCTCTCTCTATTTCTTTCTCACTTTCTCTCTCTCTCTCTATTTCTTTCTCTCTCTCTATTTCTTTCTCACTTTCTCTCTCTCTCTCTATTTCTTTCTCTCTCTCTATTTCTTTCTCACTTTCTCTCTCTCTCTCTATTTCTTTCTCTCTCTCTATTTCTTTCTCACTTTCTCTCTCTCTCTCTCTCTCTCTCTCTCTCTCTGTCTTTCTTTCTTTCTTACTTTCTGTTTCTCTTCCACTATCTCACAAACTTTCTCTCTCTCCTTCTCTATGTCACTCTCTTTGTTTCACATTCTCTTCTCTCTCTCACCTCTCTCCTCCCCCTCTCTTTTTCTCTCTCTATTTTCTCTCTCTCTCTCTCTCTCTCTCTCTCTCTCTCTCTCTCTCTCTCTCTCTCTCCCCGCTTATTTTTGGTGGCCCATAGATGTCCAAACTAAAAATTCGTAATGAGGATCAGTTTGATTTACTTCATGCGATTCAATTTACAGAATAAACCTATTTTCACTTCCATTAAATACAACATTAACGATAATAAAAATGAAAGTGGTAACCTTCGGTCCCACATTCTCGCTCCTTTCTGACAGATTCGTACCATTCAAAAAATCAGCTTGTGAGCGTAAATAATTTAATATTTAAGAAAAATCGAGGGCTATTTATAAATTAACGACAATATCTCTATCTAGGTTTCCCTAATCTCGCCGGTTTTACTCAAGATTTGTACCAAAAAAAAAGTTCAGCAGGTGTGTATTGTCGAATTAAAAGTATTCACCTTTAAGGAAAAAAAAACAACGTTTGCCTGGAGTGAGCATTAATGATTTATAAATGAAAATGAGTTGATAGTACATCTGGGTCTGCCTTATCTCGCTGGTCTTATAAAAGATTGTTACAAATTTAAGAAATAGTCTGCCAGACTAGGGTTATCTGCATTAACTATCGCCCTGTGCCCCATAAAACGAAAAACTATTGTTTAAAAAAAATCTAAATATCTTATCTTATATAGTTCAAAAGTCGTGAACGCAAGCAAAAGAAAAATGCCAACGATTAAAACACAAAACCATTAATCGTGCTCCTACTCTTTAACGGCATTCCATTTGAAAAAAGGCCATTAATCGGCATCTCAGGAATCTTAACATTGAAACAACCTTAATCCGCCACCGGTTTCGAAAGGTCAAGATTCTTGAAATATTGATCTTAATTTTTCTGTTATATATATTTTTGTTAAATCTTTTAAGATTTTTCTCTTAGGAAATCGTAAATAATTCAACAAAGTGGAAATGTTTATTAATGCAGGCTGTAACTGTTACCTAGCGCAGTGGAGGATCTCAAATAATAATAAAGGATTTATCATAAGGAAAACCTTATCATAAAAATCGCAAGTTTGTCTTTACAAATAACAACGCTTCAAATTCAGAAGAATTTTTTTTTATATATAACATTTTACCACTGGCGGACTCTCCAATTCGACAAATATCCTAAGAAATAATTCTATCTTAACAAAGGAGGAAAGTAATTGAATGGCAAATTTAAAATATAAATGCACTTTTTATCTTAAGATCGACTTATCTTGCCTCGTGGAGAAAAAAGTCTTGCATTAAAAACAGTTTCGCTAATACATTTTAAATAATTTAAATTGATAGAATAATGAGTCTATTTGTTCTTAATTTCCTCCTAAAAATATCTCTTACAAATTTACCCTTGGAAATGCACAATAAAAATTTATTTGATTTTTCGTTAAGGTCGATAAGTTGCTAATCTGTTTCCTAATTAATACGAATTTATTAATGAGACAACAACAGACGTCATCGAAGCTGTATTTGTTTCAAAATTGAGTAAAAACTTTTTCTAATCAGTTTTCCAATTCCTTAATTATTTGCGCCTTAAATATTGCAATAAATGCTATATTTAATCCATTATATTTCGTTGTCCGATTGACCAAATAACTTCTTTGAATTAATTAATCTTTAGGTAAGGTCTTGAGTTCAAAAAGTCAGTGCCACAAGCGGGATTCGAACGCACGACCTTCGGATAAATACGCCGCTGCTCTACCCCTTTGAGCTATCGTGACTTCGATCCACTGTATATTTAATGCTATATTTAATGTGAACCTTAATAATTTAAGTAAGACTTAATATTCCTTATGATAAATTTAAATGTTTTTTCTTTATTCTATGTATAACTAACTAATCGTTAAAAAAAACCTCGATTTTCAAATTTGTGCAGAACAAAAGTCAAATGTGATGGTAGATTTATTTTTTTCCCAGCAATAAAAATAAAATATGATTTTTATTATGAGTAAACGGGTCAGATTTCGGCTTGTATAGGTTGTGGAGTTCGATTCCAAATCATCGCCCCTGGAATTTCTGACCACCTCGAAAAAATTCTGATCATGTACTACTCTGGCTAATATGTAAAAACATAACGCAATTCTAAAATGTAAGAAAAAATAATTTTCGAACCAAAAGAAGACACATACTGACTTTTTTAGATATCCCCCCTGTGTGGTCTGCTATGGGGATGTTGGTCCTTACCGATTTTGGTCTGTCATTCGAAAGATTCATAATAATTCCACTATTTTTCGTGGTCCTCTTGACCAATTAATATCATTCAATTAATTAAGGTTTTTAGTTGAGAGAAAAAAGTCAGTGACACGAGCGCAATTCGAACACACGACCTTCGGCTTGATACGCCGCTATTCTACCACTTGAGCTCTCAACTAAAAACCTTAATTAATTGAATGATTCATAGTAATAATAAATAGGCCAAAATTTTATTGTAAATTCTGTCACATGTACAAAATAATGTTTTATTTGTATAAGGAAAAAGTTAGACTTTTTGACTGATCAAGATATAAGCAAATAAATTTCCTACTAAAAATGTTTCCAATGTAGATATTTTTATATTTTTAACTAATATTGGCAAGGTATTGTTTGTTTTTTTCGATGACTGATAAGATTATAATATGATCAACGTCTTATAACGAATTTTCTAAGTGTATTTTCAGAATTCTTCTTTTATCCTTATTTGATAGATGATAAAAAAAAGTAATTTAAACAAAATTGGCGTTGAAACCTGAAAAATGTTGTTCAATTTCCCGTACACTAATTGTATGTTTTCTAATCTTGTAATTTTTATTCTTGGGTATAAGGCTGTCCGGACTCCTAGGGTCACACGTCCGACCGTCTTTTCCTTATCACAACCTGGATTTCAAGTGCGTTTTCGGAAAATAAAACGCGACCTGGGATATTTAAACAGCTTGTCTTGACCTGGATTGACAGACGTGGTCTTAATTTTAATAGCAACCGGTCCGCCCTCAAGCTACCTGACCCAGAAAGCATGGGAGAGAGAGAGAGAAAAAAAAACCTTTTAGAAAGTAGACGAGCGACGACCCCTAATCTAAAGCGAGAAAAATATTATTTGCCTCCCTCCCTACTTCTCGTTATCGGACGGCAAACATTGTGCAAGAGTGCTTTCGGATTCATCGTTTTTCGTGGTAAATATTTGCCAACCTTGCAACGGGATACTGCCAAAGCGAAGTTGTTTTACAACCCTGGGCTAACGCGAGAAAAATAATATTTAAAAAAGAATGTCAAGAAGAGTAAAAACCGACAAAATTAAACACAATCAAATCAATAAATACAAATAAATAATAAATTATTCAGAAATCGTGAGATGCGGTCTGGTGTGATGTACGTTTCAGAAAAACATTTTCTTTATCGTGCCAACGTTTCGATCTTTATTGAGATCATCTTCAGGGCCTGGGATTTACAAACATTGTTTACATTTAACAAATACATTTAGGATGTGGAAAAGTAAAAGTAGGATGTGTAAAAGTAAGTGGAATTTATACAATGCAAAATCTATTTTTTATATTCAATCAAATTATTTCTACTCACTCAAAGTATTTGTCTTCTATGTAATTGTGCCATTCTTGCGTGTCGTGTTAAGAGTGCCAGTGAGATTTTCCACATCCTAAATGTGTATTTGTTAAATGTAAACCATGTTCGTAAATCCCAGGCCCTGAAGATGATCTCAATAAAGATAGAAACGTTGGCACGATAAAGAAAATGTTTTTCTGAAACCTACAACACCAGACCGCATCTCACGATTTCTGAATAATTATCGATTAACGGTCACTAATCACCACACATAAATAATAAATTTCAGCTATGGTTGTAAAGTCAAGTACTGGAATGGTAAAACACCGCACTAACCAGGATAAAATC